ATCAGTTATGTGTCAGGTAATTGAAAGATCGAAACATGGTCTAAGTTAACCTAGACAGTTCATGATTGCATTAGAAAATCAATGATCTAGAATATAGATAGGGATGCATAGAATATTATAAATTATGAAAATTATGCTTTTGCAATTTCCTGTCTACTGAGCTTTGTTTTCATGTATACCTCTGTATTTGATTATAAGTTAAAGAATTTTAATATTCATTTTGATAAAACAATTAACAACAAAAACCGCATGTTGCGTCATTTGTTATTTCATAAATGTCAATTTTTTCTGAAGAAGACTAAATGTCGAAAGCTACCTAAGAAAGCATTTGTTTTTAGCTCGACTTTTCTATGAAAAGGGGAGCTATCCTACTCGCCCCGGCGTCGGCGTTGGCGTCACACCTTGGTTAAGTTTTTCGTACCACCCCACTTTATTTCAGAAGTATTACAAGTATGGCTTTGAAACTTACCATACTTGTTCACCATCATAACCTCCATCTACAGACAAGAGTACATAACTCTGTCAAGGTTTTTGACAGAATTATGGCCCTTTTTTGACTTAGAAAGTGTATTGAGCTTGGTTAAGTTTTTTGTACCACCTCACTTTATTTCAAAACCATTGGAGGTATTGCTTTGAAACTGACCATACTTGTTTACCATCACGACATTCATCAACAGACAAGAGGACATAACTCTGTCAAGGTTTTTGACAGAATTATGCCCCTTTTTGACTTAGAAAATACATTGAATATGGGTAAAATCCACTTATTGCCTTAACCCTTTGAGATATTGCTTTGAAACTTTTAATGCTATTTCACATCATTACCCCCATCTGTACGCAAGAGAAGGTAACTCTGTCAAGGATTTGTTTTAAAAATTAAGGCCTTTTATCGACTTAGAATCTTGGTTAAGTTTTTAGTACCAGTCCACTTTTTGACTGAACTGTTTGAGATATTAATTTGAAAGTTGGAATACTTGTTTACAATCATGATTCCCAAACATGTCCAGGAGAAGGTAATTCTGTCAAAGATTTTATTTGAATTATGGCCCTTAACTGTCAATGTTTTGTATTATAGGCAAGCACTAAAAAACTTAAAAAATCTAAAAAAATTCATTCCTAGCCATTGGCCATTGTTCACTTTAAAAATACAGAGATTCTTGTATTGCCTTTTACTGCAAAAACTTTTTTTATTGGCAAGCAATAAAAAAGTCGAGCGCGCTGTCTTACGGACAGCTCTTGTTATTGATTTGATTTTATAATATTCATTTTGATAATCTTCTGATAATTACTAATAGAATATATGTTTAATTGTCTTTAATAAATTTTCTCTTCTGACTAGATTGTTTTAGTCTTCAGCACCCAATTGTATAAACGTTGGTTAACTTTAACCACTGGGTTAAATCCATGGTTAGGTTAACTTTTGGGTTAAACTTTGGTTAACCGATTGTATAAAATTTTGGTTAAATTTAACCAGCGTAAATTTCTGGTTAAATTAACCCACGTATAGGAGGTGGGTTAAATTTTAACCAAACATTAACCAGAAATAAAATGGCTGCCGTTTGTACGCTTCGTCTCAACTTTTGCTCATTTTTGCTTCGAAATAGACTATTATCGGTTGTATATGATGGCAACGATATTTCTATAAGTTGCGTAGTGACGGGAAACGGAAACAAACTTTTCCAGAGCCGGAAATAAATAGTTTTAAAAATCAGCTGTCAGTGTCGGATAATTCGGATAAATCATGATACAAAATGTCATTTTAAACCGATTAAATGAAGATCATACTGAGGATAGACTTGAAGGACAATTTATGAGTTAAATTACGAAGTCATTCTGGACCAGTACGCAGCGGGAGATCCCTGCAAAGACAAACATGAGGCTGTATACTTTGTGATTGATCAGTAAATTTTGTTTCGATCAACACATATGTGTGCGTTTTCGTGTAATTGTCAATAACAACATGAATTATTAAAGGTTTACAGACTGACAGGATATATCACCTTAGAGAATCCTCTTGCTGAACTTATCATTATGATTATGAAGAAGGTATGATAATGCATTTAACTTTTTGTGACACTATCAGTTGACAAACAGTTTGCATGACTTTTTTGTTTTTTGTTGCGTTTTGTGTATAAAATCATTATCTGATATGAAAGTTGGCAAAACAAAGAAAGAAGTCATATAAAAGAGTATATTTTGTTCATTCCATATTTCATGCATAATTGCTTCCGCTTTTTAAACAATTGTTATTTCTACACCAAAAAGTCGAGATTGCTCTGTTGTCAGGCCTTGACATCTTGTTGTCATGTCGCTAGCGAAACAAGCCAATTGGCAGGTTGTCTCGCAGTGTGTGGCCTGATGACACATTGTCACTTGACTCAAATGGAAGAATTAGCTTATTAGGGCTTAAATATGTGTCACAGGGTGAGAAAAATGTGCAGCTGACCGGGACTCGAACCCGGGACCCTCAGAATACCGTTCCGCGGCTCTACCAACTGAGCTATCCGGCCGCTTACACATCTTCTCCCCTATTAAGTGAACAGTTCTGAACCGTGACATTCTCCCCTGCTATATTGTAATTCGTCCTCGAATTTCACAGAGTTACAGAGCAATGTGAATTAAACTCTTAAGCTATATGCAGTCACAGTCCCCAGTTGGGCGCCAAATGTCAAAGAAAAATGTGCAGCCTGACCGGGACTCGAACCCGGGACCCTTGGAATACCGTTCCGCAGCTTAACCGACTGAGCTGTCCGGCCTTTTACACATTTTCTCCCATAATTAGTGAACAGTTCTGAACCATGACATCTGCTTTGTTGCTGGCGACAACAACTTGAGCCATGCCATAGCACAATAAGAAGCCATTCCCTTGATATAAGCCTAGAGACATGGAGACAAAGTGCCACAGTCTGGCACGTTTTGTAGCGTCAAGGAAAAAAAGGCGATAAGAGGTCAAAATATGCAAAAATTCCTTATTGCGTTAGTAATACAGTAGAAATATGGTGATAAATACTGAAAAATCAATCATCAATTGTTCACAACTGTTATAAAAAATATTACTTAAAACTTGAATTTTGACTTTTCTTAAAATCCTAGTACAATGTACATTTTTTAAGCTAATGTCCTTAAAATATTTTGGCTCATCTCGTGTAAAATTAGTCGAAAAAAATCAAATGTTTATTAAATAGTTTCCAAAAAGAATATTGATGATACATTGATAATTATTTTAGCTCTATCAAACAGATTTCAAAAGGCAAATACTGTAATACATATAATCATGCTTATTTTTTCCAATCTTTAAAAAAATTCCTAATCAAATTATCCAAAGCAATTAAGTTAGTTATTAATTAAGTTCATTCCAGTATCATTACAGACATATGTGTTTGTGTGTGCATGTGTGTGTTGTTGGTTTTTTGGTAGAGTACAATACATTTTTTCTATAAATTAGGAAGATTTCCCTGTTGAAAAACTTTACCTAATTTGATCAGCAAAATTTCCAGAATGATGACCTAGGCAATTTGTCTTCTCATCAAAGGTTGATAAAGGGCTTGTTTATTTCTAGCAGCAGGGAAGAATAAACAATGTCATCTTCTGATGAAAATTAAACTGTTTTTTACTTAGTTCTTAAAAAAAGTTACAAGCTTAATTATGATCATGAATTCACACACAAGCATATATCATAAAGTTATTTTATCAACCTTTTGACTTTCAACCTGTAAAATGTCCCCAAATAGCCACATTTTTTTCCAAATAAAGGTCTTTTTTTCAAATTAACTACATTTAGGCATACACACTGACACATTCTTCAGAATTTAACTGAACAACAAGATATTTGGTCTCACTCATGAATTATTGAAAAGCTTGTTTTACTTTTCTAAGGATAGGAAGCTGCTTTAGGTCTGATTTAATGTGCCACAATATAGTACTGAATGGGAAAAAGGCAATTCTTAACATTAATATTTTCATTCTATATGTACCGGTACTCAAACAGAAATACATTTTGTTTTTACAATTTCATGTCCAAATCTTTTATTATTAATATTTTGAATTAAACTGCTTTGACTCTAAAAATACTTCTTCTTTATATAATGTAAACAATGAAAGTAAATATTTATGATTGAACTCAGATGAATGAAAGCATTATTGAGTATATTTAGCATTATACCTTGGAAATGGCCATGTGGAGATATTATTCAATATCTCATCCCCATTGCTACTCTTGATATTTCTTAGAGGGGAGAGAGGGGGTTAATAAATAAGCAATAAATAGAGGGAGGGAGAGAGAGATTTAGACCATTATTCCATTGTTAAATGAGGATGTATTTTATTTATTAAATAATTTATTCAGACTTTCAATGTAGATGAGAATATTTTACAAAATAATAATAATTTGACAATAGATAGAATTCTAGAAAACATATTTGGACACTTTTTAATTTTCAACCAGTTATAGACTACATGTATGCACTTATTAAAGTATTGTTACGCTATTGAGACACGGACGTCAGTCGATCACAATTGGTAGCTCGAGCCTTGGATTCCGAACTTGGGTAATAATGGACAATATCTGTTATGGGTAGCTATCTTGATCAGCTTCCACTGCTGTTGGTTTCCTTTTAAAACCCTAATTCTTGTGATAATTCATGTGATGCAATCGAAAAACTAAGACTTGTGATAAAACTTAAAACTTCAATTTATTCATTTAATAAACACATATATCGTTTCTCTTTCAACAGTCAATCGCAATTATATTTTATACAAGAACAATCTATGTGAACAATACATCACTATTATTCCATTTACAAAACAGTCACTTTCTCTCTCAGACTTGATTACATTCAACAAAGTCACTAATTCAGAAATATAAGGCAGATAGACTTAAATAACCATTCAGTACTGTCAGTAAGCCTTGTAAAACTGCAACTTTTAAACAATAAAATTGTAAGCTTAAAATTACTTAAAATATTACTTATCAAAATGTTACTTTTAAGTAAAGACTTGTAGAAAATATTCACCAAAATAAGTTAAAGTACCTTAAAGATTGTTGTTTCTCAAACAAAATTTATACTTGTACTAAGCAAGTTGTTTTGCGTGTGTGTCCTCGAAAATGAGCTCACAGCAGTTTATATACTACTCAGACTTCACACAAAAAAGTGTGGAAGTTCACATTTCACAACTTGTGAAGTTTGCCAACTTCACATAAAATCATGTGAACCCAGCTTCACACAAAATAATGTGGAACTGTGAAGCTCACAGTCACTGGAAACAAATGAGAATTTAAATATTAAAATTACCAATATATCAATAATTATTAGTCTTATTTAATAAAAATATAATTAATACAAAAGATTAAAACCTCAAATTTCCTTTTAAAGGGGTTAACAGTTTTAAATTGTTGATGAAAGTTGCTTGACATCTCTGCATTGACAAGTAAACAATAAAAGGAAGCTGCAGTTGCTAAGCAACTACCCACAATGCAATGCAACAGGATGTATACAAACATGGCTGCTTAAACCAGGAAGTAAATTATATTATTCTGCATTTATAGGTACTACATGCACACAATAAACTGATTTAAGTTAAATACCTAGCAATTATAAAGCCATGGATATAAACTTGTTATCCACCAAGTTATAAACACATTAGACAAGAAATAAAAATACAATAAAGCTTTAAAGTTAGGTTCTATCTGACTCTATTAAAGTTACTATGGACCAGGGTATTACATTACCCCCCTCTTATAATGTCAAAGTTCCATCTGACATAAAATATTTAAAAAAATAATTCACCTGTCAATATTATTTCGTATTACTTTCTATAGTTACAATAAAGCATGTGTAGAACCACCTTAAACATGAAAATGCGTGAGCACCTTAAAATATTTAAAAATTGAACAACATGAAACGATTTCAAAAAACCACTAATTTCTCAACATAAGTTTTGCTTAAACACATTCCAATATTTCAACAATAGCACGAAATTCATAAATAATATAACTTTTCAACTGTTCATTTCTCTAATTCATATTAAACTTCAATTAAAATGTCAGTGTCTGTATCACATCATAAATACTCAAAGTAAACTTTACACAACAGTCTCTTCTCATCTAAGATATCTGATCAATTCTGGATAATATAAACAAATGTCACAGTTCCATTATAAATATCACTATTTAAAGCACTGTCATTTCACATCACTTTCCACTTAACTATCACAACGCGTATCTAATATTTAAACGTTCATCACAATAATTTCAACTTGTGTATTAATAAAAATTAATTTCTTAATGTTCATATGTTCATCTTCTTGATGTATTACGCGATATGTATTAAATGTTTCAGTTTTTTTTCACTTTATTCATTTCACTTTAAATCGTTTAACGAGTTCTAATTAATTTTCAAATGAGGTTAATCGATTTATGTTTTAAAATATTCAAAATTGTCTCAGTTCCTGTTCCTTGGTTTTTTGTTAATAATGAATCAGTTGTTGTAATGTCAAGTTTATTTCTTCTTTACTATTGATTTCAGCACTTTTTTGTTTGGGCTGTCTAAATTTTCCTTGCCCCTGTTATACGAATCTTTCTTTTTGAGTCCATCGGCAATGCATGACACTGATTTCTCCAATTTAGACAGTGCATCAACTACTTGGGAGATAGTTCTGTCCTGATTCCTGACTGCTCTGCTGTTCCAATCTATTGCGGCCGTAATTTTTCCAAGGGCTGCTAATAATGCTGTCCTGTTTTCTGGATCCTCGTCTCTACGTGGCCTCTTTGGCTCTGGCTCTTGCACAGGTTCAGTTTGTACAGACTTTGTACGCACAGACATGGCTGGGACTTTGTTTTGTTTACCCACCTGGCCAGGTTCTAATGCCGAAAACGCAGGGGAGTCTGGTAGGTCCCCTAAAAGCTGGTTCATGATATCTTCAGGTGGGCTTCCCTTAGGTGTATTGAGCCTTGATGATTTCGGTGTCTGTTTTCTCTGTTTGGTAGTAGTTCTGTCTGGTGTCGGAAAGGAAATGACCGTGTTCCGTAATTCATCCAAAAGTGGTGTACTGCTTGAAGAGTTGTTGTTATGGTTGTTGTAATTTGACTGACCTGGTACTTGTAGCATATTCAAAAGTGAACCAGACGTTTGAGTGTGTGGAGCCAGAGGTACCTGCAATTGTCGTTGAATTGGTGGTGGGGGTATGAACATCTGACTGCCTTGGTTCACCTGTGTTTGAGCCTGTTGTGGTTGGTTGACCTGCTTCTGCTGCATCAGCTGAGCGAGAACGTCAGGCGTCACTTGTACATTGATAAGACCCTGAGCACCGACCTGGTTAAGACTTTGACCACTGGTTGAGTTGTTCACAAGGTCACGATTGACTGCTGATGAGTGAAATTCAGCCTGAACTTGTTCATCAAGAGCATCAAAGTCGTTTAATAAGAACTCGTCTGTTCTGTTAAGTGGGTCTTCAGCAGACGTCGAAGATGAAAACTGCTCCCTGAGGCTCAGTTGCCGGTAGTCAGTGCCTTCACAAATAGGTTTCGCCACCTTATTCTGCACTAAAAAGTTACTGTGGTTAACCTGCTCACCCCCAGCCATAAGTTGATGCCTCTTATAACCTGTGACATGCTTCTGGAGAGCATCTGCTGTCAAGCACCGGAACATACACAGACTACAATAAAAGGGTGTCTGGTCCAAGGACAAATGGTGCTTCAATATGTGCCCCACAACTCTGTACCTCGCCTCTCGATACGACTTGCCAGCCTTCTCACAATGTATACATGAGTACAGCCTACCCTTCTTTACTCCCTTGTCTGTCAGACTCATCTCGCCCTGTAATGACACAAAATGGAAACAATCCTTACTGAAAATTATATATACTATTTAGTATATAATAAGTTTGTTTGTGATAAAAGACCCACTGACAGTTTCTAGGCTTGTAAAAGGTGATATCCTGAATATATGTTAACACATAATATACGTGTTGATTTACAGTTTGACACTATCAAATTATACAGTACTTCGGTCAAATTATACAGTACTTTGTTGAATGTTTAATTTGCATCTTTCTTCACAAATTGATATCACTATCTTGCACACTCGCACTACATTGAATACGTACAAAGTCATACAGTTTCACTATTAATAAATACATTGTTTTTTCTTTATAAAATTTGCAAAGCACACATGTTTATAAATACATTGTCTTCTATAATTTACAAAGCACACTTGTTTTGATTCAACAATGTCCATCGTTCAATACAATTTTCATTATAACACAGACAATAAAATGTCAATTTAAACATCAATATTTGAACTATTGCTTCGATAAATTTTTCTTTGCTTTGATTATCCACTTAGGCGGTGAGGTTCCTTCATACGGCTTTAACTTGTCGTGATGAACAAGCTTTTCTTGACCATCTTTATTTATCTGAATCAAAAAGTTAAATGGCGAAGTTTTCGATTTAACCATATAAGGGCCGTCATAGATTTTCTCAAGTTTCTGACAAACGCCAACTTTTCGCGATTCATGACGACACCAAATTATGTCCCCTGCTTTGTAATTTTAGATGAAGTCTTAGTGTCATAGAGCTCCTTGCTTCGCTTGGTACTGGCTTTCATATATCTTCTAGGCACATTATGGGCACGTCACATCTGGCCTTCAATCTTCTCAATATGTTCACCATAACTTGGCACATCACTGCTTTGGAGGCTTGTATAGTCATACATTACATATCCAGGGAGGTGTACCTCTCGGCCAAAACTAAGAAGGTTGGGTGTCAGCTTTATTGATTCGTTCGGTGTTGCTCTATATGCCCCAGCCAAACATCCTAGGTGAACATCCCAATCATCCTGCGAATCTGTCAAATAAGCTTTGATCATCTTAACCAAGGTCCGGTTAAATCATCGCTCAGTTTGAAATTTTCCATGGGGTTGTCGGACACTAGTGCGAGTCTTCCTGATTTCGAACAAATGACAGAGCTCCTGCTTTCGAAAGATGATCCTTGGGCGCCATGGATAGTCAATGGGATGCCCCATCTGGCATTGAAATCGTTTGCTATTCTGGTAGCACACTCTTCTGTTGATTGCTTAGGTACAGCTAAGACTTCTACATACTTTGTAAAGTGGTCGGTCAACACAAGCACATACCTGTTACCTCTTGGTGTTATAGGCAAAGGTCCCATATAGTCAATTGCAAGGGTGTCCCATGGGGCTCCACTTTTCAGATGACCCATAGGTGCTCTTGGAGTTTTATATGGAAGCTTGTCCATTGCACACGTGTCACAAGTTCTAATAAATTGGTTTATGTCTTCCTTTAAATTGTACCAGTAGAAATGCTGCTTGACTTTTTCGGCAGTTTTCTTTGTTCCAAGGTGACCAGAGAGAAGTGTTGAGTGCATTTGGTACATGACATCACGTTTTAATACTCTTGGCACTACAAGTTGCTTATGTTCACCTGTCCCATTAAGTTTCTTGAAAGTTTTGTACAGGACCCCGTCTTGAAGAATTAGATTATCCCATTGAATCCAATAATGTCTGGTTGCTTGGCTCTCTGTGACCATGTCCTCGCTAGAGGGTTTATTCCCGGACTTCTTGGCGCTAAGGATTGGACCAATGTCGGGATCTTCTTTCTGTTTTTCTACCAGTTCTTGAGGGGAGGCTATAGCAAGCCATGCCTTTTCGTGTGTCGCGTCATGGTCTGGATGTTGAGAAGACCCTGGGACAGCGCTATCTTGTGCTTCAATAGCTCTTGTCTGCTTTACCTCTGATGTGGGGCTTAAACCTGGGACATTGTCTGCAAGCATCATATCTTCTGCTCTCTTCCTACACTTTTTGCAAGGACCACACTTAAGGGGCTCACTGGTGTCTACCTCATGGCATGTACAATCCTTCGGGGTTTCACAACGGGATAGGGCGTCACAGTGCCCTTGCTTTATTCCAGGGCGATACTCAATAGCAAAATCATAAGGTGCTAGAATCTCTAACCATCTAGCTACTTTACCATTTGGCTCTTTCAGACGAAACAACCAAACTAAAGCTTGGTGGTCACTTCTGACCAAGAAGCGCCTACCTAGAAGGTACTGGCGGAAGTATTGGATGAAAAAGACCACAGCCAAAAGCTCTTTCTCAGTTATGCAATAATTTCTTTCGGCTTTGTTTAAAGCACGACTTGCATAAGCGATCACTCTTTCTCGGCCGTCTTGTATCTGGCTGCAAACTGCCCCGATACCAACCCCCGAAGCGTCTACATCAAGAATAAAACCCCCTTTATTTATTGGGTACCCCATGATATCTGGGCTTATCAAGGCCTGTTTAAGGTCCTTAAAGGCAGATTCGCACTCTTCTGACCACACAAAGGGCTGATCTTTCTTTGTTAATTCTACTAATGGTCTCGCACGTTTTGCAAAATCTCGAACAAATCTTCGATAGTAGGAACCCGTAGCCACAAACTGTTTTACATGCTTAGCTGTCTGCGGTCGAGGCCATTGAACTATCTTGGCTATGTTAGTTGGATCCGGCCTAACACCTTCTTTTGAAACAATGTGTCCCAAGAAAATAACTTCTGTCTGGAGTAGACTACATTTTGCTGGCTTCAGTTTCAAACCCGCACCCTTGATTCTGCTAAGGACCTCATCTACGCGCTGCACATGCTCTGTAAAATTCGACCCATATACAATAATATCGTCAATGTATATAAGGCAGGTTACCCATTGTAGGCCTTTAAGAGCTATTTCCATAGTACGCTGGAAGGTACTGGCTGCGTTGTTGAGTCCGAATGGCATTCGAGTCATTTCAAAGTGCCCGAACTTACACACGAAAGCACTTTTAGCAATGTCCTTCTCCTTTAATGGGATTTGAAAATAACCACTTGTGAGGTCAAAACTGCTGAAATACTTTGCACCAGCTACTGCATCTAAACAGTCTTGAACTCTTGGTAATGGGTATCCATCTGGCTTTACAAGGGCATTTACGCGGCGATAATCAACGCATGGCCTGATCGCACCAGATTTCTTTCGGACAAGCACAATTGGTGAAGCCCAGGCCGATGTGCTCTCCCTTATAACTCCCATGTTTAACATGCTCTCAATTGCCTTTTTCTCTTCCTCAGCATGGGCCAAGGGGACACGTCTGGGTCTTTGTTTGATGGGGGGTGCATCTCCAGTGTTTATTTCATGCTCAGTGATATTCGTGAGGCCAATGTCCCATTCACTCTTAGAAAAAGAGTCTTGATATTTTACTAAGAGACCAGCTATATAACCCTTCTTTTCATGGCTTAGATTTTCTGAACTATCTTTGAACAATTTCTTCAAATGGTCTGGAACATCTTCTTCTGAGGCTCTAGCAAGTGTGTCTGGGAGGTTAGTAAGAATAGTTCTTTCTGCAACTTGGCGTACAGACTCAGGGTTTTCATCTTCTCCAGTATATTCTTTCTCTTGAATGACACTAACTATACCTTCTATTCTATCTGCATATCCAATTTCAGCATTTTGTCTGAGAACTGTTTCAGCAAGGCTAGGATTCATCAGTCTGACCTTGCATGTTGCAGAATGGTTGATATTGATTAAAGTGGAGGCCATCATAAGGTTGTAAGTCTCTTTAAAATGTTTGGTAGGCTCAACAAGGAAGTCTGCTTTCCCATCAGCATCGTCATCTTCTATGCGCTCAACGTAGACATCTACCACTGCCTCAGACTGAGCAGGAACACAGAAGTCATCAGCCATGACTACCTTCCTTTGCTTTGGGTTTCTTCCTATCTGTAAACAAGGAATTTCATGACCATCTAGAAGTATTTTCCCCTTACTCAGAAGAATGTCAGCAGGTCCCTTTTTACCACCCATAAGAACATCATATCCCAATAGAGCGTCATCCTCTATCTCCGCCACTATGGCTTCACAGACAACCTCATGGGATTCTAACTTTAAGGCAAACTCAGCCTTACCCAGTTCCTTTATGGGCTTACCGCCGGCTCCTTTAAGGCATCCCGCCTTCTTGAGCCTAGGACGAGCACTTTCTTCAATCTTATGAAAAACCCTGGTAGAAATGATAGTTCTAGAGGCCCCTGTATCAGTGGTAAAAAGCACAGGTACATTTTCAACCTTGCCTTTCACATAGACCCCACTTGACAGTCCTCTTTCCTTTTCTACCGCAACAAGAACTTCTACTGGTCCCCTTTCTTCCTTGTCTACCTCAGCCTCCTTAACCTCATCTGCACAGTTCCCTCCACCTTGGCCCTCACTCTCTAATTGGACCTCCCTCTGGCCGCGAGAGCTGGTCCCCTGAAGTTTAAAGCTTCAGCCGATAATTTTGTTGTTTGACTTGATACACTCTGGCCAGTTTGTGCTGAATTTTTATCTCTGTTGACCCTCTTCTTTGGGCACTCTCTAGCAAAATGGCCTATTTCATGACAATTATAACATTCTCTGTTTCTGCCGAGACTTCGGTTATTGGTCATACCTTGGTTATTCACATTACATTCATTTTTCTGCTTTTGAGTGCTCTCAAGCTTTTCTAATCTTTCAAGTAGATGCTGCATCGAAACTGTCTGGGTGTCTCTTTCGCTCTTATGTACCCCTTTATTGTTGTTGAAATTATTTTGCTCTCTTCTCCCTTGACTTGAACTCGCCCAACTTGACCTAATTTTCTCTTCGTAGCATTCAATTTCATCACCATAATTTTCATTGTCGCATACTACTTGTCTCGCACTCCTCCTGTTTTTCTGGTCAAAATAACTCTTATGAGCATTTCTTGTTTGAATCATGTTTACTACATGAAATACTGCCTCATCTATAGTATTAGGCTCTTTATGGTATTCTACTTGAAATCTTATTTCCTCGTCTAGTAGGCCATCTAGGAAACGCCTTGTAAGATCTTCATTTCTTGTTCTTGTATCTCTGTAACCATGAGCCTTGTCATAAAGCTTCTTTAAATCAGACGCAAATTCTTCAGCTGTCTCGCCATGTTTTTGCACTCTTCTGCTAAACTTAGCTGCAAAGGACCTGGGTGTTTCGATAATACGGTACCTACTGTTTATCTCAGACACAAGAGCATAATAATTATGCAATACATTCGGCTGCAACTGTGAGAAAACAAACTGTGCTGCCTGTCCCTCAATGCGCGGAAGAAGCTGGTCAAGCCTATCATCTATGCTCCATCTATACCGTGCAGCTATTGCCTCAAATCGTGCGTGCCACACTGCCCAGTCTTCTTTTCCCGTGAAAGGCGGAATCTTCACATTTACTTGACCTTGCCTTGATGACTGCTGAAAACTATAGTATGATGTTGAATCATTAGTATTCTGTGGCGTTGACCTATCTGGAAATCTTTCATGCCGGCTAGTTCTAAATGAATCACGACTGTAACCTTCATCATGATAAGGCAAGGCCCTATTATTACTATAGGATATATTACTGTAAGCATGATCACCATATGAAGTAAATGTCTGTCTTCCATTTTGGATACCTCTGTTGCTATACTGCCTGTCCATTGATGTAGGGCATCCTGTTGTAGTATTCTGGCTGTATGTGTCAGTAGCCGGCCTGTGTCTGTTATTCAAATCTTGGCTAGGATAGATTTCTTTGTTTACAGTTGGCTGTCTCAAAATTTGTAACTCTTTTACAACATCTTTTAAAACTCCAGCCATATCATTGACTACCTGACCAATTTCCAATAAAGTACTGTCTCCCTCATCATGCTTCCTTTGATTAAGGGGAATACTATTCACACCATCATTATCAATGTTGACATCATGCTGTATGTCACTTTCATATGACGTAGACGGCACATGATCTACTGAATCATGTGGGGTGCCAGGGTTGGTCACTGGGAAGCGAAACGTTATTTCCTCATCAACCTCATGTGTTAACATCTCATCCCCATTAATGATTGGCCTATCGTCTGATGACATCTTGGAAAAACGTTGGTTCGTATCGCTGGATTCAAGGAAGTTTGAATCCCACCGCTGCCACCATAAATTTAGTGTTACGCTATTGAGACACGGACGTCAGTCGATCACAATTGGTAGCTCGAGCCTTGGATTCCGAACTTGGGTAATAATGGACAATATCTGTTATGGGTAGCTATCTTGATCAGCTTCCACTGCTGTTGGTTTCCTTTTAAAACCCTAATTCTTGTGATAATTCATGTGATGCAATCGAAAAACTAAGACTTGTGATAAAACTTAAAACTTCAATTTATTCATTTAATAAACACATATATCGTTTCTCTTTCAACAGTCAATCGCAATTATATTTTATACAAGAACAATCTATGTAAACAATACATCACTATTATTCCATTTACAAAACAGTCACTTTCTCTCTCAGACTTGATTACATTCAACAAAGTCACTAATTCAGAAATATAAGGCAGATAAACTTAAATAACCATTCAGTACTGTCAGTAAGCCTTGTAAAACTGCTACTTTTAAACAATAAAATTGTAAGCTTAAAATTACTTAAAATATTACTTATCAAAATGTTACTTCTAAGTAAAGACTTGTAGAAAATATTCACCAAAATAAGTTAAAGTACCTTAAAGATTGTTGTTTCTCAAACAAAATTTATACTTGTACTAAGCAAGTTGTTTTGCGTGTGTGTCCTCGAAAATGAGCTCACAGCAGTTTATATACTACTCAGACTTCACACAAAAAAGTGTGGAAGTTCACATTTCACAACTTGTGAAGTTTGCCAACTTCACATAAAATCATGTGAACCCAGCTTCACATAAAATAATGTGGAACTGTGAAGCTCACAGTCACTGGAAACAAATGAGAATTTAAATATTAAAATTACCAATATATCAATAATTATTAGTCTTATTTAATAAAAATATAATTAATACAAAAGATTAAAACCTCAAATTTCCTTTTAAAGGGGTTAACAGTTTTAAATTGTTGATGAAAGTTGCTTGACATCTCTACATTGACAAGTAAACAATAAAAGGAAGCTGCAGTTGCTAAGCAACTACCCACAATGCAATGCAACAGGATGTATACAAACATGGCTGCTTAAACCAGGAAGTAAATTATATTATTCTGCATTTATAGGTACTACATGCACACAATAAACTGATTTAAGTTAAATACCTAGCAATTATAAAGCCATGGATATAAACTTGTTATCCACCAAGATATAAACACATTAGACAAGAAATAAAAATACAATAAAGCTTTAAAGTTAGGTTCTATCTGACTCTATTAAAGTTACTATGGACCAGGGTATTACAGTATATATAGGCTAACTTATTGTTTATTGGGTAACAGTCATATACTATTCATTACATTATGTACATATATTGAAACCCTGGTTTACCTACTTCAATGACATATAATAAATATAAACATATATAAGCATTTTGTTGTTGACCAACTTGTTTTATTTACTTTATAGAAAAAAATTGGATGAGGGGTGAAGTGTCTTACTGATTTTGGGGGGTGAAGTGTCTTAAGGGGTGAAGTGTCTTCAAAATTTGAGGGGTGAAGTGTCTGGGGTGGTGGTGAGGTGTCTTGCTACCTGACATATAGCCTATTCCTAAAGCTACTGGACTAGTATAATGTTGGCCAGCCTCACTGACAGGTTCCAATCATTCATTTAAGTGTTAAGTATTTTTACTAACAAGATACATGTATAAGTAATACAATTATTATATAAGATGTAAGAATTCCTAAACATAATATTGTAGGGTATTAAATAAAAATAATACAAAATTGAAGTAGAGGTAAATTAAAAATCATTTTTGATTGTTCATGAATTAATTATGGTAAATTTAAGATGACTATTGTTTTCTTTTTCATAATTATTGATCATTTAGTTTTTTCTCTGTTTAGTAAATTTACTGCTGGGAACCAAGTTGATTTTGCATTTCAGTGCTGTGACTAGTGAGAATTATAAAACATGTTGAATGTTTAAAATAAAGGATGTCAGTCATACAGTCACAAGAAAGCAAAGTGATTTTGTTTTCATTAATGTATTTTTCATGTTGTTTTTTTTGTTGTTGTTGTTTAGGTTAATAAGCAAGAACTAGACCTTTATTCTATTATTTATTTTGCTATAATATGGTAAACTTTCAGTAAAGCTCTTCTATCATGAAACATAGCTTTGACAAATGCAACAAGATTTCCCAAAGGTGACTGATATGATATTTAGTTACTGAAACAGAAGTTTCATATATTATATAGAGAAACTACAGAGAGTAGTTTGGGGCAAAAATCATTCAAAAATTACATCTGATGTTACACAAAATATTTTGGGTTCGAACGTTTTAGGTACGAATCTGATAGGAAATATATGCGTCAATACTTCTGCATCGAGTGGTTCTTGTATGAAATTATTAACATTCTAACCATTTTCTGTCCCAGTTGACGGATGATTTTGATATTTGCTCATTTGCAGTACATTTTAATTTGTAAACAAAGCCCATAGCAACCATGCGGTCTCACTAATTACCGACAAGAACCGTCAGTAGAAATGGAAAAATACGAATTAATTTCACTACTTCATCATTTTATAATCACAATTCCTAATATTTTTACATGAAAAACATAATAAATTCGTTCTGAACCATGTTTATAGGCAAATATCTATAGCGACAATATTCGTGGTATAAATTTAAATTTAATTCCCGTGACATCAGTTCCGAGGTCATAAACAAGTTCATCCTACGTAAAAGTTATATTTTGTACATTTGTTTAATGATGATATGTAATTAGTGTGGTGAAAATTAACATCTTAATTGAAAATTTGAACCGATTTTAACTCTACTATCAACATTTTTGATTGTAATAAAAATGAAAGCGTAAACCATGTGTTAATTTTGACATATTCCGCGAAAATAACATAACCGGATATAGAATTTATTGCATGTCGGGATTAGTTTTGGTTAGTTTAACCAGCGGTTAATTTTAACCATTTTGGTTAGTTAACCTTTAGGTTATCTCGGTTATACAAGTGACTAACCAAATTGGTTAGTTAACCAAAGTTGGTTAAATTTAACCCAGGGTTAGCGTTTAACCCAGGGTTAATTTAACCAACGTTTATACAATTGGGTGCTGGTCTGCTCTCAGGTGTTAAATGTCTTCTTATTTAAATTATTAATTTTGCACACTGTGTCTTTTAATATTAAATTTTCGAGACTGTTTATCATCAATTTAAAAGTTTCAAAATGAAAATATTAACTTAAAGATGGTCTTTAGAGTCTCAGGCCAGACTGCACAGAAGTGCTTAATGGAAGTTTGGGAGTCACTTACTCTTTAAGCTTTTAGCTTGTATCATTTAACATGTAATACTTTTCTTTCTCTACCTTTATAATGTGACCTAATGGGAGCTCTGTAATGTCAACTTTAATTACTTGTCGTTGTTAAAAGATTTATTACTTATTATGGATGATTCCAATGATCCACACCAATTGCCCTTACTAAAGACTTTCAATGTCACTTTGAGAGTAGATTTAGTGACAGTTCTCAAATTGGGCATTAAACGACAACAAATATCAAGACTCCTAGCTGATCTTAAAAAAAAAGCCACCTTAGTGCAGTCACAGGTTAAGTCCTTCAAAATTTAATAGGAGTTAACCAGTTATTGCAGTCAGGTGACAAATTTAATTATCAATTATGTAAACAACTGATTCTAGCAATCTAACAATTGATATGAAGCTTATAATTGCTGTATTTAAGATATGAAATAAAATATTTGGAATATGTCTGATCATAACCAGATTCTATAGTTGTGTCATGACAAACAAAATATATATTTAATATTAGAGAAAGGCTGCACAACTGTATGTTTCGGAAACAAGTAAAATATTCCTAGTGTCTCCATGCTGTCTATCAGTAACAGACGTAATGTAATTTATTGACTACTCCAATGTTATATTATAATTTATCATATAAAATATGAATGTTTTCTGATGCTGTTTTGACTGGCTATACCCCATTATTCCATTGTGCAAGTGAAATATTCATTTGTGTCTTTATTATGTGATACCATTAAAAATATCAAAGTTTGTTTTTTCTGATTTTTCTGACAAAGTTAATGATTGATGATTCATTTGTGATTTGACAATTAACAAAAGTATTTTGCATTGGAAAGCCATTATATTAAGGTCATGGTCTTAAATTCTATATGCAAGAAACTTAACATTCATTACTTAGTATAGTGGTTGGTTGGTTCCAGAAATGGATTTGAGAGTGTTTCAATTTAAGCTTATAGCTTTCAACACAATCCAACTAAATAGATTGTATTAACTAAATTCTGTACCTTTACTAACCTAGCTGTACAACATATAGTCTTGAGTTTTCCCAAGTAAACCTTATATGTTAAGACTATGAGCACAGTACCAAAGGAGTGCATCAGAATTGTTATCCTGAGGTCACTGGTTCGATCCTCTGGCTGGGCAAAATAGAGAAATTGAACTCAGACATTGAGTCTTATGGTAATTTTTCTCTCTCAGCTGATTCCGAATTTGTGTTTGTTTTCTTATATATATAACAATGTGGAGAAGTTTATAATTGAACTTATTAGATATCGAGAAAGATGGTTAAGTAGATCAGCCGCCAAGACTGTGTTAAAATTGGCGTAAAAAAAATTAAGCGGACAACCAATATACAAAATTTTATCTCAAAATTCCTAAAATTGATAAGTGACAGTTCTAAATATAAGCTGTCCCCTGGTGAATTGAAGTACAGCATTTAATTAAGAATCTTAAGCCATTCTTGTATTTTCAGCCTAATGACTATTTATTTAGTTCAGACTGTTTAATATTTGTTTCCTCATCTTATTGTTTAAGTCAGGTCAAGGTCACAAATGAGAAAAAAGAAAAAAAATGCTATCCTGTTAATTGCCTTTCTCCTGCAAGTTTTTCCTGAAGTTTCATTTTGTAAAATCACGTTAGATTTCTGTAAAACACGATTATATGGCCATTATAAAAACAAGAACATGGAGAAGTTGAACAAACACATGTTACATCAGATGCAAAAAATGGTTATAGAGAAAGTTGTAGAAATTTACCATTTGCATGACTTGAACTAATTGGTATTGATTGGGTACCGATTATAACCTGCGCTGTAATAGTTACACTTCATGAGAATTACATTCCTTTTCAGTTCCTTCAATGAGTTTTTTTTTTTTTTTTTTTTAACTAAAGGAATCTCCCAATAATGGAGACTAGGCATACAATTTTATTGATCTTTACAAAAATAACAATTATAATGGAGAATATATTGGGGGTGTTTTTACTTTTAAATCAGTTCATTTGCATAAATAAACAGTTTAGGATTAAAAAATAAGACATTACAAAAGTCATTTAATTGTCACAAGAGAAAACATGTGAAAATTTGAGTATGTAAAAAACATTGCATTCTTTGTTAAGATATTGCTGCATGCAATATTTGTATGAGAAAATAATTGTGACACTGTGAGAAACTAAATTTTTACTTGTATTAAACGAAAGCAAGATTTTCATGAATTCCTCATTAAATTCTGTAGTCTGGAAGTAATAAAAGCTTTTTTCAATTTCAAGAAATATCATAAATGTTGACTTTTATCCTTGCTTTGCTTTGAATTAGGTATTGTCCCTAATCAATGGTGTATTATGAATTTAAGTTAGACTATTCAAAGAATAGGGAAAGATGTTATGGTATTTACCCCAGCGTTGGCACCACACTTTTGTGAAGTTTTTGATTATCTAACATGATGGACACAGGTCCGTTCACTTTTGAGTTACCTTTTTGCAGTTATGCCCCTTTCCTTACCATCAAGCACTTAGAATGTCTTAAGGACAGCTCAATCTTGTTAACTAAAATGACTACTAAACTTAAATAACAGCTGATTGCGTGGTGTCTAGTCAGGAATTGCAGACTGATCTGGCTGAGTTATAATGGTGGCTATATTAGGCATATCATTTATTGCCAGGATTGAGTTGTTTTAAAGGCAAACACTTGTGTCTTAATCAGATATCTTTGTTATAAATGTCTTATAATAATTAGCAAAATACATTACCAGCAATTAAACAAATAACCCATAATCTGCTGAATTCATGTAATGGATTTTCATAAAGCTGTTATATCGAACATTCTTCATTCAAGGTTGGAAAAAAAATATATTGAAATGTAAAAAATTGAGCGACCAGAAGTTATATACAGTATAATTTATATACCAACAGTTTATAGAGCCTGGTTATATTGCATAGGTTTCACAGTCTAATGCCTGGCTCTACACTGCACTGGTGGCAAAG